ATTCATTTAGTGACCGTTAAAAGGAGCACCAGCACTGAGAAAAAAAAAGAAAAAAGACATAGGACCGCTTTTTTCGCCCCGTGATCAAAATTCAGTCGCAACGTCATCTCCTTTTGAAATCCAGATTTCGTTTCACCGCCGTGTCACTAACTTCACAACCGCAGGGATTCCCTTAACAGCTGGTCTCGCTCAGCGGCTGAGACGCGGGGCTCCATTCGGTTGTGTGTGGAAGACTAGCCTGCACAGGGTCCCCCTGCTCGAGCCGGGCTAGTCTAGATGGCCTCTGAGATCCCTTCCTAGTCCGTTAAAGGTCACGCAAGGTCAGACCGACCTCCATCCTCCAGAGATCCGGTTCCCTGGCAGCCTTTCTCCGTAAACCCTCTTGATCTCCCCGAGGCGTGAGATCCCTGGATCCTTTCTCCGGTTTGTCCCACCCCGAAAACGGTCTCGGTGTCTCCAGCCCCACGGTGGGAAAACGGAAGGTGAATTATTTCAGCTGACTGGCTGCCCGTCAACTTAAAAGAACCGAGAGAGCTAGAGAGCGAGTGTGTGTGTGTGTACAACTCACTGCAGGAAGGCTTGTGGCTGTTGTGGTTGCGTCCATCCTGCTGAGCTCAGGGTGGTGGCGTTGAAGGCTCCAGCTCGGCCCCCGGACGGTGACCGAAGGGACACAACTGGATTTTGACTCACCGCAAGTTGCGCCTTCTGTCTTTTTCTGGACACGGGTCTCCCCCCAAAATGAACGTTCGTGTCGTGGCCATTCTGGTTTTCCTCTTGGTCGACGGAGCAGGTAAAGTCCAGCCACTCGGATCTGTGTATCTTGTATCTGGGGGGGTCAGGGAGAAAAAGAATTGAAAGGAAAGGGTTTGGGGTATGTGTGGGTGTGTGGGTGTGGGTGTGTGTCAGAACAACGCAACCCCTTCATCTCCAAGGAGAGCAGCAACGTGGAATTCAGGAGAAATTTCCTGAGAGTGACAACAATTCATCAGTGGAACAACTTGTCTCGAGTGTTGCGATTGCTCCAACACTGGGAGTTTTTAAAAAGATGTTGGATAACCATTTGTCTGGTGTAGGGTTTCCTACCTATGCAGGGGGTTGGACTAGAAGACCTCCAAGGTCCCTTCCAACACTCCTATTCCATTAAAGCGGTAAACCAGAGCTAAAACATGATTTAAGTTGGAGGTTAGCTGGAGATTCAGTCCCAGTTTTTATTCATTTATTCATTTGCTTATTTCTTTATCTTTTGCTTTTATTTTTATTTTATTTTGCTTACAAACGCAAAAAGCTTCCCAATAAAACCACATTGGAACCGTCAGAATTTTTATTAGTCGTAGACCAGAGACCAGAACAAACAGTCGATAAACAATGCAATTCCAAAACTCTAGAATAAAATAATAACGGATAAAATCTAGGATGCAATCCAGCCTGTCCATTGTGTATAGTCTAACTACACTAAAATCACAATCCAGAAACTCCATGGCCCGCGGTCGGTTTCTTGCTAAAAGGAGAAGTCATAAGCCATTGGAACCATCGATACTCCGAGTAATAGCGATCCTTTTGCAATTAAAAAGGATGAGGAGAGAGGTGGGGTTTTTTGCTTTAAATATATAAATATTCCTTCTTCGCTTCTTAGGTCTTGGGAGGGACCCTTCTTCTCAACAACCCGGCGAGGGAGGCTCCCCCCAAGTTTTAAACCAGCCCTTTTTTAAAATAATAATAATAATAATCAAAGCTTCTTGAATCCAAAGGTTGTTAACTTTGGGGCATCGTGTGTGTCCATCTGTGCTTTTAATGAAGGCAACACAAGTCAGTCCAAAAATGGCATTTATTCAAACAATTATGGTGGAACATGCCGTGGCAGTCTCTTTTTAAATCATGATTCATTGGCGAGTGATTCTTCCAGCAACGGAGGAGTTGATTTAGGATAGCAAAGATGAAAAGCTGTTTTGTTTTGTTTTTTTCAAGACCAGAAACCACTCTTAGATTCTTAAAACGATGACCCAGAGGGACATTCGAATAATACGCAAAAATCCCATTTGACATTGTGATTAAACTGCTAGGCTAGAAACAAAGAGATGGGAATTCTAGCTGACGAGTTGAACTTAAAACTGTATTCATTTTTTATTTTGAAGGAGGTGTTTTCCCCAAAGGAGCAAAGATTTTTTAAAAAGTCTAACTTTTTAAGGGTATTAAAGCAATATTAACGTTTTCATGTCCGATGCCTTAGTGTTTTCATCCTGTAAATTGCTGTCATTCTGTTGCTTAAGGAATTTCAAGCTGCATAGGGTCGTTTGCTAGAGAGATTTCATAATTTAATTTAAAATTTAAAAATAATAATAAATAAGCAAAAATCATCGTTTGGCTCTCAATGCGAGCAACTTTTTTTTTTGGAGTCGAGAGACAGTAAGTTGTTTTTTTTTTTCTCTTCCCTTTTATTGAACACGACGCTCACTTTTAAAGAGAGGTGAGTGAAAATAAAATTATTTGTTTCCCTAAGGTTAAATATAGAATAATCCAAATATATACTACAATACTTTGCAGCTTGATCAGCCAGATGGATGTGACTGCTTGTGGGCAAGGAATTGAAACCTTGGTAAAAAAAAAAAAAGATGTTTTATTTTTAAAATGTTGATGAGTTCGCACATGTCTTCCAGTGCTCATCCATTTCAAAATCACAAAATCCCCAATTTTTGCAATCCTTTCTATTTTCCCCTGATGGCTTTAGGTTTCACTTTTCATTCTTCTGTAGCTTTGCAGAATCCTTTCGTTGGCATTTTTGAAACCTTTAAGCGTTGAATCAAACAGTGTGTTGATATACTACGCCGAGCCTAACCATGGTTTGTGCTTCAGTGATGGGAGATAAATTTATCTATGGGAGAGGACCCCAAAAAATTGTTTAGCTCGGGGAAAGTGAAAAGGATCAGAAAGCAACTCAAACCATCTCTTTCCCTGATCTTGTGGTCCTTCAGAAGGATTTGGAGATGCTTTCGAGATTTGGTTAATCTAGAATCCCACCGATGTCGGTTTGTTGACCTGGCATACCTTGGTTTGATTGGGTCACGCCAATCCTTTGCAAGTGGAGTGGCCAACATTGAACTCAACGTGCCAAGCCACATGTGACGCTTTGCAAAACTACCTGCTCATGTCCTGCCCACATCCTGAGTTCTAACCAGGCTGCATGCTGGCTTGATCGAGGCTAGTGAATCCAAGCTTGCAAAACCTCAAGATGTGCTTTTGCATTTCTGTGGCTGATCCTTAAGATTTTCACAAGGGGCAACTTCAGACGGTGCACCGCGGGAAAGAAAGAAACTCTGAAAGAGAGATTCTCACCAGGAACAAAATATAATAATTGGGTAATTAAATTTACCCAAACCCCACACCCACAATGAATTGTACAGGTAATCCAAACTTAATTCTCCAATTTCAGCAGCTAAAGTCCTGTTGATCTGAAAAAGCCAAGCGTTGGACACAGTTCGATTTTTGCATTCTAGACCACGTAGGTTTTCTGAACATGTAAAGAATGCTTCTTGTCTGTCACGTAGTCCTTTCTTATCAAGGCATCGGGGCTTGGGAATCTACTGCCAAACCGTGAAAATGTAAATGAAAAGAGAGCGTTTGGTCTTGTGATTAAGACAGCGGGCTAAGAAGCAGAAGACCCTGAGTTCAAGTCCTAATTTAGCCATAAAAGAGTGATTTTGAGCCAACCACCAGGAGATGGTGAGTTCTAGTCCTGCCTTAGGCATGAAAGCCAGCGTGAAACAAGTCCCTCTCTCAGCCCAACTCACCTCACAGGGTTATTGTGGTAGGGAAAATAGGAAGAGGAAAGTGTGTTGGATATTATTTGCTGCAGACTGCCTTGACTTCTTTGCAAAATTGATAAAGGCAGGATATGAATAAGTAACCATTTAAAAACAAACGAAGGACTGGAAAATGGAGTTTCTGGTAGCGAAAAAGCCTGAGTTAAAAATTCAGCTGGGCTTCACTAATGCAGATTTGTGGGGAAAACATCTGCCACCATCTCACTTTTTAAAGGGGAAATGGGTTATAAAGGAAAAAGAAGTGGGCTTTTTAAAAAGGAAGTTGAAAGGAAAAGTCTGCAGTGTTCACGGTTACTCCCAGTTGTTTGAAAACTGAGCTACAAAATGCATCCTGTAATTAATCAAAAGGTCGACCGTCCTATAAATCACGATTAATCAAAGATACAAAGGGACTAATTCCCAAAACAAAAATATATATCTTACGCAAAGAGAAAGGAAACAAAAAAGGAATGCGATCTATTTTGTATAAAACAAATACACTTGGATAAAATGAAGCGATAATTCAAGTAATTCACAATCAATAATAATCAGTAATTCATTAATTAGTAATGATTTAGTTAAGAATACTTTACTTATGATTAAGTAGCAGTTTAGTTAATTATTAGGTAACAGTTTATTATTAACAGCTTTTTTACTCATTATTAATTAATCCTCATTGGTAAGTTAAGTGATTATGAATTGATTTATTGGTGGATACTTTCATTGTTATTATAATTTCACATTGAATATTGGTTGATAACTTTATTGATGGATGATGAATAGTTTAACTGAATATTATGAACTAATAATTGAGTTGGATGTGGTTCGTTGTTTATTTTTTAATTAGAAGCTTCAAACTTTTGCGCGCTGGTTCTCCTCGGGAGCTTTTGGGCAGGGGGGAATGTATTTGTTATATATCTTATAATCACAACTTTGCCAGAGTTTTTGGGGGTGAACCCCAAAACATCATTTAAGTGGAATAATGAAGGCACGCAGCCTGGTGAGCTGGCTGAATCTTGATATTTACAGATCTTGTCAATTTGTATTTCTGCAATGGAGAAATACAAGGTTTTACAAGCTGTTCTCATTCGGCCTGATTTTCTTTGCTCAAAAAAACAAAACCCAACCCACCCTATTTTTTTTTACATTTTGCAGCATCAGAAATCAACCCAAGCTTTGTGGTTTCATAGTGCGATTTTGGCTGATGGTGGACAGAGGCCAAACAGTGAGCAATCCGCTCCTCATCTCATTTTTAAGCTGCAAGCAAATGTTTTCCCCAAAATTGAATTGCGCCATAAGCGGGTTCCACAAAAGAAGAAACGAGAACCGTATATTAAAGCGGAAATATAATTTTCCTCAGAGGCACTGGGGAGGAGATTCAATTCCAGTGAATCATCTGGAGTCTAGACCAACAATTTGCTCTGAAGTTATTAATTCTGCTTTATTGTATTACTTTCGACTTCTGGAAACAGGGATCTGTGACAGGCATAAGAGTGAGCGCTGGTCATAAGTCCCTGTTTTCAGTGCCTGAATGGTGGTTAAATGATTGTTTGTAAGACGAGGGCTACTTGTGATTTATTCTCTGGGGTTGCCAGAAAGATCAAATCCCTTCTTCCCCCGAAATCGTTTCCAAGCTGGGAATTGCAAGAATACAACCCAGGCGATCAACAGAAGTCAAAAATATTATATTTTATTGAGGTCGACATTCTTAAATAGCACTCCTAAGACAGCGTCTCCATCTCGTTTTCTTTATACAGCCATCCTCGAATTATGACCACCATTGGAGCCCAAAATTTCTATTGTTAAACAAGACATTTGCTAAGTGAAATTTCCCCCATTGTCATGCCCCTGTCGAGTCGACAGGGAGTGGGAGCGTGTTGGCTGTGGAGGAAACCAATAATACAATCTGGCCACCCTGCGGAGTTTGCCCTCCGGCGGAAATAAAGACAAACTCAAACAGGATTTGAAACATTAGGCACAAATACAAACACTCACACAAAATCAACTTACAAAGGGAGAAAAGAGTATAAAAAAAAACCAGGGACTTACCATAAGAAGCTAGCTAGCCCAGGAACGCAGACTTCTCGCTGTTCTCCGCCTTCCTGAAAAATAAAAAGATCCAGCTTTCAAGCGGTTGTCCGTATCCTTGCGCCGGAGCTCTCCCAGAGGGAAAATCGAATCCTCAAAAGAAAGGCATTTTGACACCTTTCAACAGTTTTAAGGGTTTTGCAAAACAAATCCGAAAATTTGCCCCCCAAAACTTAGCCTGTCTAACAATCTCTTCCTGTGAGTCAGGGAGGTGTGATGGAAAAAAGAAACTATCTTTAAGAAAAAATAAAAAAATTAAATCCAGATTTCATATAAGCAAAACAGAGTCATCAGCAATCCAATGAAATGACATATTTTTGTTAGCGCTTGGAATGATTTTAGAGGGAAAAGCTCGATCCCACGATTTAGGAAGTGTTTTAATGGAGGCCAGAACTTCCATGGCTTCTATTCCAAATTCCAAAAACCTTCCTCTGGCCTCTTCCGTTTGCAGAAGCTTTGAAAGACTCGGAAGTATGCTACATTTTGGATGGGATTTTGTTCCTGTACGGGATCATCCTGACTATTCTCTACTGCCGGCTTAAGGTGAGTATCTGGGGAACCCCTAAAATTAGACGCCTCAATCCTGAAATCCAGGCGTGACAATGGAATTTGGTAATTGCTTATCAAGTAATTTATCAAGCTAGAGTGTTTTACGGGCCGGATGCCCTTCCCGTCCCCAGTGCGGAGTTTTGTTCGCAAATCAATCGATTGCAAGATTTATCAATCCCTTTATTCCTCTTCATTTAACAACCCCCATAATCCCTTGCATTGGGGTGGAGTCTGGGCAACTGAACGGAGCTAGCTAGAGTGTTTTATGGGCCGGATGCCCTTCCCGTCCCCAGTGCGGAGTTTTGTTCGCAAAGCAATCGATCGCAAGATTCATCAATCTCTTTATTCCTCCTTTTTAATCAGTTCCAGGATCGGAAGAAAAACAAGACTGCAGACCCTTCTGCCATCTATGAGGTACATCCATCAATTATTTTACAGGTTGTCCTCGGCTTATGATCCTAATTGAGCCCAAAATTTATGTTGCTAAGTGAGACCATCATTAAGTGAATTTTGCCTTGTTTTATGACGGCTGTTAAGCAAATCCCGGGGTTTAAGTCAAGCTGGCTTCCTTGTTGACACTGCTTGCCAGAAGGTCGCAAAACGGGATTGGCTGACCCTTGGGGTACTGAGACTGTTGTAACTATGAACTGGTTGCTGAGTGTCTGCATTTTGATCACGGGGGTGTCAGGATTCCGGCAGTTGCCCCCAATTTAATCATGAATCTCGAGCCAAACTTCCAAAGGATTTATTGGGAGTTACCGGTGATGACCTGGGGCGTGGCACAAAAATAACCGAGTCACAAAAAATAGACGAAAGTCCCTTTCATGCCTCCAACTTGGCCCCAATGTCCCAATTATCCTCGGCTGGATATCAAACACTTCAAGAAAACAGTATACGAAGGGAGTAAAGGCAGTCCGCACCCAAAGTAAAATTAATTTGAAATAAAAAAACCAACACAAACCACTATGGCGGAATTACTACGGCAGGCAAGGATGATTAATTGCAGACTTCTATCAGATAACGCAGCAACTACGGTTGGGCGGAAGCCAAAACACAGATAATTTCCCACAAGAAGAATGTACACTTTGCTTCCAGCAACTTTGCCAGGCGCAGTTTGTCCTTTTAACCAGTCCTCCCAGCTGCAGCCCATGAAGGGGATCAGGGCCCCTTCCTCCCCCACAGACCACACCACTCACGTTTCTCCCTTATCCGCTCCTCCCTGCGTGCCCTAGGATGAAGAGGGGATGGGCCTGGGTCTTCCTCTGAATGCCCAGCCGGCCTGTGCCCTTCCCCAGTTTCCTCCACAACCACTGGAGCCACACTCCCACAGGGGCACGACACTTAACATGTCCGGCACTGCCTGGGTGTAGCTAACTCTGAGGCACATCATTCATTGTCACCCTTGACCCTGGTTTTCCCCCATCCCCTGGATGTATCGTAATTCCTATTCTCCAATGGGACACCTCCATAGCCCAGAGTCACCCATCATGCTCTCCAGTTAGAATTTAGCATGGCAGAAACTTCAGTCACCTAGTTACCATCTTTGAAAACATTTACGGAATGCGCTTTCAGTTTGCAAGCTGCCGCACTGCTCTTTCAAACCTCTTTCCCCCCCCCCCGCTCCCTTTCTGTTGGCAACTCCCAAATGACCAATGGTTGTAAGGGTGAAAGGCGGCTGTAAGTCCTTTTTTTTCCCCAGTGCCATTGTAATTTTGGTCACTAAATGAACCGTTTTTAAGTCGAGCTCTACCTATTTGCATCAAACCCTTCCCTTCACAAGGGAGGGTTTTGGGGGAAATGGGGTGGGGTTGAGATTTCCGTCTTGTGGCTCTGAATTCTAATCCTTTTCCTCCTCCGTTTTCTAGAAAGTGGAAGGCATCTATACGGTAAGTTTCGCTCTCTGCTCGTTTCACCCTAGAAAAGGGGGGCTCTTCCTTTTTTCCATCCTTTCCACCCTAAAGAGATTATTAAAAATCATGAAAAGTCTTTCCCTCCAGGGAGATGGGCAGCCAATACGTTTGATCAATAAATTTTTAAAAAAAAAGTCACAAAAAGATGAGAAGCCACCTGGAATGACGGAGAAATTTCTTGATAATTAGAACAGGTAATCAGGGGAGCAGCTCGCCCCCAGAAGTTGTAGGTGCTGCATCGCTGGAGGTTTTTAAAAGCAGACTGGACAGCTATTTATCTGGAATGGTGTAGGGTCCCCTTCTTGTGTGTGTGCTGGGGGGGGATGAGCGGGTTGGACTAGATGACCTCCAAGGTTCCTTCCAACCCTATTATTCTATGTTCCTATAAATCTTGCCTCAGGGCAGGAATCCATCCAACTTAAGACTCTTAGTTAGTAACTAAGATAGATAGATAAGACAGACAGACAGACACAATGGATGGATGGATGGATGGATGGATGGATAGAGAGACATACAATGGATGGACAGGCAGCCACGATGGATGGATGGATGGATAGACAGACAGCCACGATAGATGGATGGATGGATGGATGGATGGATGGATGGGTGGATGGACAGACAGACAGCTACGATGGATGGATGGATGGATGGACAGACAGACAGCAATGATGGATGGATGGATGGATGGATGGACAGACAGACAGCTACAATGGATGGATGGACACAGACAGCAACGATGGATGGATGGATGGACAGACAGACAGCTATGATGGATGGATGGATGGACAGACAGATACGATGGATGGATGGATAGACAGACAGCTACAATAGATGGATGGATGGTTGGATGGATGGATGGATGGATGGATGAATGGACAGACAGATACGATAGATGGATGGATGGATAGACAGACAGTTATGATAGATGGATGGATGGATGGATGGATGGATGGATGGATGGATGGATGAATGGACAGACAGATACTATAGATGGATGGATGGATAGAGAGACAGATACGGTAGATGGATGGATGGATAGACAGACAGATACAATAGATGGATGGATGGACAGATATGAGAGAGACAGTTATGATAGATGGATGGATGGATGGATGGATGGACAGATATTGTCACCTTCAAAGTGACAATAATTAATCTAAGAAGTTCTTAAGTCTTCATGTCTTTTCCTCTTTCCAGGGTCTGGATGCTCAGGAAATGCAACCCTACAGCACGTTGCAAGCTTCGGAAAAGGCCCCGGAAGGGCTTCCTCCAAGGAAGACCCCCTCCGAAGAATAAACACCTTGTCTTCCTACGACTTCTGGATGCGCTTTCCGGGCCTGTCCTCTTCCCCAAATTTCGTGTCCGGGAGAGAAACCCAGAAGATCCGAAGGACTTTTTGGGTGGCATTCTTTTCTGGCTCATCAATCCTCTTCCAGAATATTAATTCTGGGCAACGCAAAAGGGTGGCTCACAATAGGGGCTGCCTGGGAATTCTACTGGAGCTACCCAAATCCCCCTGATTTTTTTTTTTTTTTAATGTTTTGGGGCTATTTTTGCTGGTCCTCGACTTACGACCTCAATGGAGGCCAGAACTTCCATGGCTTCTGTTCCAAATTCCAAGCAAGGAATTTGACCTTTGGGCCCCGGTGGTTAAGTGAATCACTGCAAATAAATGAATCTGGTAGTCATTAAGCAAATATCTACCTACCTACCTACCTATGATCTATTTATCTAGCTATCTTCTCATTCTCATTTATCTATATATCTTCCTATCTTTATCTTCTTTCTGTATCTTCTCTATCATTTCTTTCCTTCCTTTCCTCTCCTCCCTTCCTTCCTTCTTTCCCTTCCCTTCCTTCCTTCTTTCCTCTCCTTCCTTCTTTCCTCTCCTCCTTCCCTTCCTTCTTTCCCTTCCCTTCCTTCCTTCTTTCCTCTCCTTCCTTTCTTCTTTCCTCTCCTTCCTTCTTTCCTCTCCTTCCTTCCTGTCCTTCCTTCCTTCTTTCCTCTCCTTCCTTCTGACCCTCTTTCCCTTCCCTTCCTTCCTTCCTCTCCTTCCTTTTGACCCTCTTTTCCTTCCCTCCTTCTTTTCTCTCCTCCCTTCCTTCTTTTCTTTCTTTCTTCCTCTCCTTCCTTCCTTCCTTCCTTCCTCTCCTTCCCTTCCTGTTGTTGAGACATTTGTTAAGCCAAGGAGAGATGTTGCAACCGTCATAAATACATGCCAGTTGCCCAACATCCTAATTTAGTTCATGGGACCAGAGACGCTGCAAGGGTTATAAGTGGGAGCACCGGTTCCAAGTCACTTTTCCCAGTAACTTCAAACCGTCACTAAACAAATGGACGTAAGCTGAGGACTACCTGTACATTAACACAGCTTTCTTCTGCCAATTGAAAACGGGGAATTTATCTTTCTGAGTTAGAGGCACGGTGGAGTTTATGTTTTTCTTTTTGATTTCTGATTGTGATTTTTGATCTTGTAAATTGCCTGGACTGTGATATATTGGTTTAATACATACATACATACATAATAAATAAATAAACCCTTTGTCAGTTTTAACACAGTCCCTGCCAGCTATAAATAAATTGCCTTAATGAACAACTCACCAAATCTGGATGTCAACTTTGTCTTCATCAACTTAAGCAGCCACAGCTAAGGATTCAGAGTGGTGATTCAGGAAATATTTGTGGCTCTCGTTGGCGAGGACTGTTCAGAATGGCAAATTTAGCCCTTGACATTGGCGAGGACTGTTCAGAATGACAAATTTAGCCCTTGAGCCAGATCGATTAAATAGGCGTGCTCCAAGAATTTTTCAGCCCAAATTAAACCAGCCGGGTTAGTCCCAGGATCAACCAAATTTGAAAGGCAAGGAGACGTCACAGTTTTCTAGCCGATATTCTGCTGTTTTTATCCCATTTATTTTCCTTTATGTCTTGAACCAGCGGAACGGGAGTTGCCTTCAGAAATTGTGGGGGCTCCATCACTGGAGGTTTTATACGAAGAGAATAGACAGCCACTTACCTGAAAGAGTGTAGGTTCTCCTGCTTGAGCAGAGGGCTGGACTAGAAGACCTCCAAGGTCTCTTCCAGTTCTATTCTATTCATTTCTATTCTATTCCATTCTATTCTATGCTTCACCCAAGTCCACAACCCGTTAGATTTTTGGCCTTGCCCAAAACTCTCATTAAAGTCCAAACAAGGATAGTGGATTTGGGCATGAAATTCAGGGATTTTTTCACCCTGAGTTATTTGCAAAAAGAATAAAGGCAGATCTCTTTATTTCTCCCTCTCTCTCTTGCATCTATCTGTCTATCTGTCTGTCTATCTACCTACCTATCATTTATCTATCTTCTCTTCTCTATTGTTCTCAAATATCTATTTATCATCTATTTTCTCTTTCTTTTCTTTATCATTCTCAAATATCTATCTATCTATCATCTATCTATCTATCTATCTATCTATCTATCTATCTATCTATCTATCTATCTATCATCTATCTATCTATCATCTATCTATCTATCTATCTATCTATCTATCATCTATCTAAATATTCTCTGGCTTTTGGTACTTTTGAAAGGAAATTCATATAAGTGTTTTTCTACAACTGGGTTTGGGTGACTTTATCTGCCTCTCCACATTCTCCACATTTTGTTTTTAAAAAAACAAAACAAAACAAAACAGGAAGAGCAGAAAGAATATTGAGATTAGATTGACTTTTCCTGCTATTATAGCAGAGTTTAATTTTTATTTCTTACCTCTTCAAAGAAGAACAAAATACTGAAAATCGAGGCCCGGTGTTGCAGGCTGCTTTTCTCGAAGTCTTGTTGCGTTTGGAGGTGGGAAACGACAAATTTTAAAGCAGAAAATGGTTTAAATGAGTTTTTTTTTTCCCCCAATCTTGGCTACTTTTAAGTTGGGTGGATTTCAACTCCTAGAACTCCCCTGGCCAGCAAGCAACAGAAAGATTGAATTGAACCAATGTTTTTTTTCACACTTGGGAATTTTAAAATGTTTATAGACCTCAATTTCAACATGCTGGCTGGGGCATTCTGGGAGTTTAACTGGACCATTCTAGGATTTCAGCTGGGGCATGCTGGGAATTGTAGTCCCCCCAATTTAAAAGTAACCAAGATTGAGAAACATTGCTTTGGAGGTATTATTTAGTATGGCCTTTTTTGGGTGGGAAAGCAGAATATATTCTATTTTCTTTCTCTCTCTCTTTTTTTTTTTTAAAAATAGAGGATATCTTGAAATATGCTGGGAGTTGAGGTCCTCCTGTCTTACAGTTGCCCAGACTGAGAAACACTGTTTTAGATATATCATTGAAGTTGGTTTGGGAATAAAAATCGGAATATTTCTCTTTTTTTCCTTCTTTTATTTCGGGAGGGTTGGGCTCAGGCGGGAGCAAAGCACGTGCCCCAAAAGCCCGGGAAGCAGGGAGTCACGTGATCCAAAGAGCGGCGTTCTACCCCTCTTCCTCTCTATCCCATCCACGCCACGAGACAAGGAGCCGGATGCGCAGACCGGCCTGCGGCATAGATATAGGAAAGTGTAGAGCACTTCCGGTTATGGGTCTGAGGAAAAATAATATTGGAAATATGGGCCCACGTTTCAGATATACAGATGGGAAGGAGTGGCAGGGGGTACATTTAACTTTTTAGGGGAGTTTGGGGGAGAGAGCTTTTAAAAAGAGTGCAAAAGTGATTTTTTTTTTTACAGGAGTCCATGCTTTTTAAACTCATTTTCATTTTTTAAACTCGTTTTTCATCGCGTTAAAGGAATAGGGATCCTTTGCCTCTCCTGAACGTGCACCCAACCGCGTTCAAACCTTGATTTTGTCCTTAAATCCTGATTCCGCCCTCCCACTTTCCCTCCCTTCAGCGCTTAAAAAAAAAAAAAGCCAAAACCGGAACCCGGAAATCTGAGCGCGCGTATCCCTCTACCTTTTTTTTTTTTTTTTTTAAAGCAGACGTAGTTTGTCTGCATTCCGCGCGCTGTTCCGTTTCTCAGGCGACCCTTTCCCGGAAGTGACGCCACCGGGGAGGCGGAAGTGACGCTGGAGGGGAAGTTGCTCCGCGAAGGAGGCGGCAGCAGCGGCGGCGGCGGTGGCGGCGGCTTCAGCCATGTCAGCGGGCGGCTCGGGGCAGCGGGAGCCGGGGGCCTCGGGCGGGTGAGGAAGGCGCCCGGGCAGGGTGGAATCGGGGGCGGAGGCCGGGTAACACAGCGCCCGAGCGGGGCCCGCTGGGCCTTCCGGGAAGGGACTACAACTCCCATCAGCCCCGGCCCCCCTTTTCTCCCCCCCCCCAGCCCTTTTTAGCTGACCCCCGCCCCTATTATCCCCCTTTATATATTTTATAATGATGGTATAAATTTGATATGATATCTAATCTCCTCGGGCGACCCTGACCCAAGCCCCCCCTTAAGAATCGTGGGAATCCCCCTTTCCCCAACTTGCCCCCCCCCCCGGAAAAAAAACATTGTAAAGAAGAGGGGAGTTGGGGGGGGGGACTGTGAAAGGGAGGAGGGGGCGCCAGAAAAATTTTTTTGGGGGGGAATGGAGAAAGTCCAACAATTTTGTGTCGGTTCCGTGCGGGTTGCCCTGAAGGGTGAGACTTCGGGGGGGGGGGGCGTTGCTGATCTGGAAAGATTTTAAGAATAATAAATTGTGATTTGTTCACCGACGACAAATGGCAGAGTTGGAGCAACTGCTCAGTGGGGAGCAAACTGAATGGGATCCTTGCTGAACTCTGCCCTATCTTCATCCATCGATATTCTATTTATTTGTATCAATCGTCTCTATTAATCAGTCTATTACTTAGCTCATCCATTATCTGTGTTATTATATCAATTGTCTTTTCTATTCCTTAGTTCATCTAGTATCTATGTTATAGCTGGATTGCCTTTCTATATCTCCGTCTTATCTATTGATTGCTTATTGCTCCCTATGACTAGCATTAAGTGTTGTACCTGATGATTCTTGACTCTTGAGGAATGTTTCTTTTATTTTATATACACTGGGAGTATTTGCACCAAGACAAATTCCTTGTGTGTCCAATCACACTTGGCCAATAAAAAGAATTCTATCTATCATCTGTCTATCCTGTATCTGTTTGTCCTATCGTATCTATCTATCCTAATACTTCTAGCACATCTCTAATAACAATGTACCTTTTATCTATCCATCTATCTAATTCTATCATTCCTATCTTATATTATTCTATCTTCTCTATCATTCTCATCCATGTCTATCCACTCTTATTATCAAGCATATCTATCAATCAGTCATTCTGTTCTCTTAACATTCTCATCCGATTCTGTCTCTATCCACTCCATCATATCTATCAATCAATCAACCTATCTATCAATCATTCTATGTGACTATCCATCCATCCATTTCTATCTGTCCCTTCTTTCCTACCTTATCTATCTGTCATCTATCATTCCTATCTCTAATCTAATCTACCAACCAACCATCTCTATCTCTTCTGTTTTGATAAGTGTGGAATGAGACCTTTTAGCCACAGGTCAGACAGTGCAGGAAAGGACTTTTATGTTTGTGTGCAAATTGACACACACATACTACACTTTTGCAACTTGCTTCATTCTCACCCTCCTTCAGAGGAAACTCTGGTTTAGCCCAGCTGGCTGAGGAGGACTTCAGCTCTTTTTCTCCTCAGGAAACTCACACACCTCTCCAAACGGTCTTGACTTCAGCTCTTTTTTATTCTTGCCTCAAAGCAGCCTTTTGCCCCAAAATTCTGCCCTCGTGGCCTTGTGGAGGTACATTTCTTCCTGTCTTCCAGACTTCTGTTCTTATCCTGTTGGCCTCTGGAGGTTTTCAGATTTCAATGCTTTTGTTCTCTTACCTCAAAGCAGTAGCTTTTGCCCCTAAATTCTGTTCTCAGGGCCTTCTGGAGCTTGAAAGGGCTTCGGTCTCCTCACTTGGTCTTCTTCCTCATCTTCCAAGCTTCTCTTCATCCTCTTAGGTTCACTCAACTTCAGCTCCAGGGCTGCTTGGCTTCCTTAAGTGCCAAACATTTTCCCTCAGGAGCTGCCTTTCCTTCTGGGCCTTCTGCTCCCTTTCTGGACTTTTCTGAGGTAAGCGACAAATTCAACTCTTTTCCCTTCAGGAATTGGGGCTTCCTTTTGGGTCTTCTTTGCCCCGTTTTCTTTAGCTTCAGGGCTGCTTGGCCTCTTTTCCACCTCCTGAAGTGCCAAGTTTTCCCTCAGGAATTGTTTTTCCTTCTGTGTCTTCTGCTCCTTTTCTGGACTTTTCTGAGGTGAGCGGCAGATTCAACCCTTTTCCCCTCAGGAATTGGGGCTTCCTTCTGGATCTTCTTTGCCCAGTTTTCTTCAGCTTCAGGGCTGCTTGTGGCCTCCTTTCCACCGGCTGAGGCTCCAACAGACTTCAAAAGCCCCTTTTCCCCTCAGGAGCTACCTTTCTTCTGAGTCTCCTTCTCCCGCTTCTGGGCTCCTGAGGTGGGCAGTACCTTCATCTCTTTTTGCCTCAGGAGTTGTGGCTCCTTTCTGCTTCTTCTGTTCCTCATCCTCTTCTCTTCCTTTCTCTCTTCCTTCCCTCACAGTGTCCCTGAGGGATCTGACCCTCTCCCTCAGCCGAGTCCCCTTTTTATACTCAAGCTCTCTCCTCTGATTGGTGGAGTGCCTCAAGGGGCCCGGCTTTTGATTCGCTCTCCAGCCGCAACTGCCTCATTGGCTCTTCCTTGAAAACCTGCCAGGCTGTTTCCAGGGTTCATTTCTGGGGTGGGCCGAAAAAAAAAGGAGGATTTTGAAGCAAAAAAACCAAATGGATGGGTGAAAATTATTTGTTCCCGGTCCTTCGTTCAGTTGCTGGTTTGGTCTCCCTCCAAACTCACAACAACAACAACCATGAACTGCAAAAAAGAAACCATTAAAAACTACAGATCCATAGTTTTTGGATTTATTCATATATCTGAATTCAACCTATTGTCCAAAGAAGAATTTGGGGTTCCACCTCGGGGTTGCACAAGAATGAATAAAAATGAGACCCAGAGAACTATGAGGAAAGGAGAAAGATTTATTCCTAAAAGCAAAACGATTGGTTTTTAAGGGCAGGCTACCGAAAAACGGGGTACAGCCGCAGATTTTTATAGGGGGAGTTTGACCAGGGTGCCACCTGATGATTCTAGGGTGACCCTTGAGGAGCGTTTGTGTGTGTGTGTGTGGGGGGGTATGTTTATTCTTGTGAACGTGCAGTTCCTCTGGGAGAGCTAATTTAATTAACTCCGTGTTTGCAGACCTTACCCTTTGATATGTGGATTGGGTCTGGGTTACTTATTTGAGGGGAGGGGCCTTGAGGAAATTAAAGGAATTTCCCCATTTGCTATTTTTGCTTGATTAATTTAGTTTAATTATATATATATACTAGCTGGATCCCCATGCTTCGCTGCGAAACTATGTGATCAGGCTTAGTTTTGGGGGAGGAAAATAAGGAGAAAAAAAAATCTACCTCTGCCTACCAACATTCATCTGGCTAGCGTCCTGTCAGTGTGTGAGAGAGGTGAAGGCTGTTTGGAAAGTGAAACAGTATTTGCTGTGTGAGCAAGATGGAGACAGCAAGGAGCCTGGGCGTGGCTTAGCTCAACTGTTCTGTACTAAAGCTGCTTGGTGCTTTGAAACTGAAGCTCCTCTGCTCGTGTTTTGCATTGTGGAGAGATTTCTTTTCAGGTGGGGAGGGGGAGTAGAACTCCTTAGCATCAGAGCGTGTTAATAATAATAATAATAATAATAATAATAATAATAATAATAATAATAATATAGGAAATACTTTAAATGCTCTGATGGTCATTTGGAAAAATCCTTTCTTAGCCCCTAGAAGCCAGGAGGAACGTAAGTGCCCAATTTCAAGTTTGTAGGCTTTACGGTGCTGGAGATTTTGTGAGGATGCGTGAGGGACATAGATTTATTATTTATTTTTCTAATTTCCAGGCGCCGCAGCAAATGGGACCAGCCGGGGCCTTCGCCAGCTCTCTTCCTCCTTCCTGCTACCACCCCAGTGGCCGGCCGCCCCATGCAGGGCAGCGGAGACGGGATGTCAGGGTCCGAAGGTTCGGCGGCTCCTTTGGGCGCCTTGGATGCTGCGGCGGCGGTGGCTGCGAAAATCAACGCCATGTTGATGGCAAAAGGGAAGCTGAAGCCCTCAGCCAACTCTGCAGACAAGGTTAGCTGTTAGGGAGGCAGGTTTTCTCCCTTGGGTGTCCTCGACTTATGACCAATGTTTCTGTCGCTAAGCGAGACAGTGGCTCCGTGAGTTTTGCCCCATTTTACGACCTTCCTTGCCTCCGTCACTAAGTGAACCCCTGCAGTTATGTTAGTGAAGTGAATCCAGCTTCCCCCGTTGACCCTTGTCAGGAAGTCGCAAAAGGGGACCTCCGGGACGCTGCGACCGTCATAACTGTGAGCCTGTTGCCAAGGGTCCAAATTTTGATTGTGTGACATGGGAAATGGCCGTCAGTGTGAAAAAGAGTCCTCTGTCACCTTGATGTAAAATGGACGGCCTATAAATCTTTACAAATAAATACACTTTCAACGATCCTTAAATGAATGATGGTAACTCGAGGACTTACCTGTATTTATTGATTCATGACTTGTCTTTATTCTTGCTACTGGGTGTAAGTTCTCAGGCCCCAAATATCTTGTCCACACTAGGCCTGTGCTGTCTCTGGAGAGTTGATTTATTTCTATATTTAATAATAATAATATTTAATTTTATCATGGATCTTTCCTTGATCTGGGGCGCCATCTGACTTGGCATAAGGTGACATATGGGTCAAAGAGAAGCAACTAGATATTGGTGATGCCAGACCATGGTTTAGGAAGAGATTGTATTAAGAGAGAGATTATTTCTATTATTATTATTATTATTATTATTATTATTTATTCAATTTCTATCCTGTTTTTATTACTCTATGGATAACTCAAGGTAATGATCCTTCCTCTTATTTTCCATATAATCTTTTAAGGTGGGCTAGGCTGAGAGGGAGGGACTGGCCCAAAGTTATCCAGTCCGTTTTCATCCCTATGTCAGAACTAGAACTCACCGCCTCCTGGTGATTGGCCCAGCACCTTCACTAGAGCTAGACCAAACCGACTCTTAGTTTTCCTATTATTTTCTGTCCTCTCCTCCCTTCTGGTCTTCGGCAGCTCCAGGCTCCAGGGAAAGGTCTGTCGGCGAACAAAAGCAAAGATGATCTCGTGGTGGCGGAAGTGGAAATCAACGACGTGCCACTCACATGCCGAAATCTCCTAACAAGAGGACAGACGCAGGACGAGGTCTGGCACCCTATCCAAATTAAGGCTGTGCAGTGCCTTAATTCCCCATAATATGAGCTTGGTGGGATTAACAGAGGGCCAGGCCTCCTTGGATTTCTGGGAGTTGAAGTCCGTCCATTTTAAAATAGACGGGGGAATTCTGGGAGTTGAAGTCCGTCCATTTTAAAATAGACCGGGGAATTCTGGGAGTTGAAGTCCGTCCATTTTAAAATAGACTGGGGAATTCTGGGAGTTGAAGTCCATCCA